TGTATGTCTTATTCTTACATCGGTTTTATTTTCGCTCTTGTTTTATTTGAGCTTATAAATTTTATTTATATTTATAAGATCTATGCGCGAGATTGTTATAGGAATCGTTATAGGGAGCGTCGACAGTACGCTATCTCCTTATTATTTTTTTTATAAAAAAGTTGTTTTTTCTCTTGTTTCAAATCCACTATGGTACTTTTTGAATCAATCGAGGCTTTCATCATTGCCCTGACAATTACATACATATATTATAAATACCGTTTTAATTTCTGGAAAAAGAGAAATGTATTTAACCCTACACCTTCGTTTCCAATGGGAAACATGACAGCCATCATGACAAGAAGAAAGCAAGCAGGCGAGTACCTCTATTACTTTTCATAATATTGACATAGACAATGTGAGTGTATAATTACTTTTTTGAATGTCTCCACATTTTTCATTAAATAAAATATACAAATAATTTAGATAGAAATGACAAAATTGAAATTTAAGAGTAAAAGTAATTTACAAATACAAAGTTTTTAATATAGCAATATGGTAAATTAGGATTGTGTGTAGAATAAATCCCAGATAGATTTCTATTCATATTTAATCAAAAAATATATGACTAATTGATAAGTTATGTTTTCATCTGCAATATAATTCTGCAAAAAATCATTTTTACATCATGAAACAATATGCCAACTAAATAAAAAAAATTTTTATGGAAAGGAAGCCTTATATATGTACTATTCGTTATATGACTTATATAAATACCACAATTTATTATCACTTTCTTTTTTATAATCATTACAGATATGTTTGTACTTTTACTAAATTATTAATAATTTACACTGTTTTTATTTGTATTTTTACTTAAAAAAAATCGCAGAATTATGTAAAAGAAAAATTTATCAACAGGTGTATATGCTCATGATGTCTATTTAAAATATAAAGATCATCGTATTTTTGGAGTGTATCTGCTTTTTAAACCAATCTTGGTGATCGCCGATCCGAACATTATTCAAATAATATTGACAAAAAAGTTTGAAAGTTTCCACGACCGTGGCCTGTACATTAATGAAAAAATAAATCCATTGTTCGACAATTTGGTTTTTATAAATGGAAAGAAATGGAAAAGTTTACGCCAAAAATTAAGACACACTTTTACTACGGAAAATTTAAAGCAAATGTTCGATATTGTGAAGGTATGTGGGGAAGAACTTACAAACTATCTGGAGACCAAAGCACAGATGAGAGATTCCGTCGAAATGAAAGATATGTTTGCAAGGTATATTGTTTTTAAGACGAAAAGTGTAAATATTATAGAATAAAAGAGAATAAATAACATATTCACGTAATGAAATTCTTTGAACTTAATTTTTATATATATCAATCTTTCTTTATTCATTTAAGTTATTTCTTATACTATAATTTTATAACATCTTTAATGTTTCGTACATTTTGATAAAAGTTATTAAAAATTAATTACCAATTTGACCAACAGATACACCACTGATGTAATCATGTCAACGGTATTTGGTATAAAATCAAATTGCATTGAAGAATCAAATAATGAATATCGAAAACAAAGCAAAAATATTTTACGGATGAAAATTTCAAGAATTATCCTGAATATGTCTATGCCTGGAATTATGGATTTATTTTCAATTCCCCTCATAGACCGATCAGTCAACACCTTTTTCACGAACCTATTTCGAAAAAGTGTAAAAAATAGAAGAGCGCATAAAGAAATAATAAGATACGATTTTATGAATATTCTCATTCAATTGATGGACAATGGCTACGAGGTTGAGTCTGACAATGATGAGAAGACCGACGTAACATGTAAATATATATTTTTGTAAATATATATATATTATATATTACATTAATACCCGCAGTTTCCCTATATGTCTTAAAAATTTACATCTATTATCTCATGTTGCAGTTTTGTAAATAAATAATTAAGATTTTTTTTTAAACAGATCATTTAAAAAACTACATTATTTTATTCACTTGCAGCAACCGTAAATAAACTTACCATGGAAGAAGCTACTAGCCAAAGCTTTATCTTTTTCCTAGTTGGCTTTGAAACCTCCGCGGCGACGTCAATGGTCGCTATATATAAATTAGCGGAAAATCAAGATATTCAAAACAAAGTTCGTCAGGAAATTGACGAAATATTGAAAAAGCATGGTGGTCTGACCTATGATGCCGTAAACGAAATGACATATCTTGAAAAAGTAATAAATGGCAAGTATTACAATAAGTAACAAAATCATTTCGTTATTAATATGTAAGTTTAGATAAATTGTTTGTATTTTTGATCAAATATATCTTTATATCTTTTTTTAACATATCCAGAAACTTCAATTAAATGTGTGATCCGAACTCAACATATGCTCCGTGATAACTGAATGTCTTGATGGATCCAATTTATAATTGTTTTTGTGTTCGTTGATTCTTGTTCTTAGTTGCCGTTTGGTTTGCCCCACATAGGAGGCATTACAATCATTACAGTTGATTTTATAGATAACATTATTGTTCGAACACAATGCATTAACGTCTTTTTGTGTTTTTATGAATTTATTCAATTTGTTAAGAACTCTGTACCCTATTATGTGTTTTTTTTTGTCAAAAAAATGAGCTGTTTTTTCGGAAATATTGTTTATAAACGGCATTACAATAATCTTTCTTCTATTTTCAATCGTCATTAGCTTCCACCTCATTTTTATCGCGCACCTTATGATTCAGTTTACCGTTGATTAACATGTTCAATCTTATATTAATTCTTTTGAAAATTAAATCCAAAGGATAACAGTTGCTTCTCAATATATTAATACACAATTTTATGTTCTTGGACTGGAATACAGGGTGGGATATAGTAGTATGGCTCTATCGACCAACCCGTATATCGTGCCGATTTTATGGCACTCAGGATGATTCGAATAATAAGACAAATATCTGCCTGAAAATGTATCTTTGTGATACCAGTCCAAGATAACAGTGTCATTAATTATGTGCAGTTGCAGATCTAAAAGCTTAAAGTACGGTCCTTTCCAAATTCAATAGTAAACTTCAATTTTTCGTGATAGTTGTTAAATTTGTCTAAGATGTATTGCGCTTTGTCACGTGGAACCGACAAAATTATATCGTCGCAATTATTTTATTGTTGCTCGATAATAAGGTGAACACCACCTTTTATAGCGAGACCAAATGATTTCTCATTGTAAACGAACGGCTTCGCTGTCCGGGGATGAGGTTTAAATTTATATTTTGACAGAAGAGACGCGAGTCTAATTTTTGTTACTATGGATCCAAATTGCTTTCCTAAAAATTAATAATACCAATAGAATAAAATTTATATAAAACATTTGTGTAGTAACTTAATTATTATATAGATTTAGCAAGTTTTTTCTTATCAGTCTAAAAAGTATTTACTCATCCTTATCATAGAAAAAAAACTATACAAAAATTTAGAAGATTAAACTATTAATTAAGTTATTAATTAAATATTTTTATAAATATTTTTGCGAAAAAGAGAGAAACCCCAACATATACATAAGTGTACATTTTAATTAAGTTACACTTAATTAAAATATGTTCTTTTGCGCAAAAATATTTTAAAAATATTTTAAAAATATTTTGTGCTGTATGGGAGCTTCGAACCAAACAACTTTTGTCTGAAACAATTTTTCCAATCTCTTTTACTTTAATAGATATTCAGCTAAATCACTTAAAATGATACACCCTGTATATATGCAAGTGTATGTCTTATTCTTACATCGGTTTTATTTTCGCTCTTGTTTTATT